TAGTGCTACTAGTACTAGTGCTACTGGTACTAGTACTACTAGTACTAGTACTACTACTACTACTATTACTACTACTACTACTACTACTTCTACTACCACCACCACTAGAACTACTGCTACTACTACCACCACTACCACTACGACTGCTACTACGACGACTACTACTACTACTACCACCACTGCCACAACAACAACTACTGCTACTACTACTGCTGCTACTACTACTCCTACTCCTACTTCCACCAAACAGCGACAAGTCAAAAAAAACATGCTGGCGCTGTGTGTAGCGATGCCACCATTGAAGGCGACACCCACGACGTTACCACACAGAAGGAGTTTTGACCGGCGCGCGTCTGCTTCCATGTCCAAAAAGTCTGCCGCATTGTGAAAACAACCTTTAACATAAGTAAGGTTCAAAACGTGGAAAACGATAATACACTCACCAAATTGAAATGTTCAAGGGCCACATAACAAATAAACAACGTCGCTCATCTAACTTATTACTTACAATGTTTGAGCTCTCCACCTGCTAATGTGTATATTGGGATGACGAGTTCTCTGAGATGTTTGTTTTCCTTCCACCGCCGTGCGTCCCGGACGCCGTGGGTCCAATCCGCCACCCGCCTCAGGCAGGGCAGTTCCTGGACTGTTGGGATTATCGCTTCAGTGGAGCACTGAGCGCGTCGTGACCGGATGGGTCGTGGCCGGGTGCGTCGTCGTGAGTCATATGTGTTTGATGGGGCGAGGTTTTGCTTTCTTCGTATCATGCCCTCACTGATCCTTAATCTCGATGTATGAAACAAGTGGAGAGAGGAGAGAGAGAGAGAGATCTCACACATAACTATCACGTTCCATACCCCCCAGAGAACTCAGTTCTGACACGCCAAGCAGCTCATCCAAATTTTTCCACGCCGACCACTCCTGGGACGCCTAGACTACCAGACCTGCTGCCTGGATGACCCTGAGAGAATGACCATGAGCCGCTGGCCGGGGACCACAAACACCGAGTGAGTCAATCAGCTGTTTTGAGGTGGGGGGGAAGTGTTAGGAGCATGAGATGTCATGAGATGCCATGATTCACAGATATCATATGATCACAATGCTGGGTTCCCTTTTCCTTGTTCCTCTTGAAGGCTGATGCACGGTAAGCTATATGCATCATTTGCCAAATGGTTAGAGGTTAGAGCCTAATTCGCATTTTTTGCTTTAGCTTTAAGCATCCAGAGGCTGCACAGGCGCTTGGTAAAGCTTGCCAAGAACACCATTTGGAAGTTGTTTTGTTTTTGTAAGGACGCAAGTGTCTTTCTTAGAGCAGGAAGATGTAGGAAGATACATTTTCCAGCATCTCATTCAGCCCAGAAGTTGCAGAGAAGACACAAATGAACCAATGGGACTTAAAACCAAATTAGATACTGTAGACGATCGATTGTCACCCATAACCCATGACTTCGACTTGACAGAGACCTTCATGAAGTGCTCACGCAATGGGAGTGTGTTAAACGGGAAGGTCAATCTATGCCCGGGCATGACTTGACAGCCTTAAATCTTAGCAGATTTTAGCGGTCTGGCAGGAAGTTTCTTCAGAGTCTTCAATGCACTCAGATTGTGTTCCTGACAATGTGCCCGACCTGGGTCTTCACGGTATGGCTTGGTCGACTAGCCGACTAGCCTATAGCAAGAAAAGCGGCGACGTGGCAGACGTGGCATGCGCTACAACAAGCGCTACAACAGACTCGTGACACGTGCGACGAAAGTAGGGAATTTTGGGAAGTGAAAAACCACCCCTGTAGACCCCTCAGGATCCAGCCACCCTTTGCCCGTCTTACGAGTGGCACCTTATGGCATTATGGCACCTTCGTCAGAATTTCGAGATCAAGAGAATTAATTTGTGCTTGCCACCCTTACCCATGGCATCATATGGCATCCACTTATCACTATTATAGCTATAGCCCTTTCAAACCCACGTTTGTGCCTCCGGGCAGGAGCTGGCTACAGACGATGGCAAGTTGTGCATGGTGAAGAAAAAACAACTAACCAGATGACCAGGTCACTTTCCGATGACCAGGTCACCTTTTTTGGGAACCTTTTGCATGTCATTTTTCAGTTGACGACCACTCGCAGTC